CGTCCCACCCGCTGGCCCTGCTGTTTGCCGGCTGTGGCGCAGCCGGCAGCCCAGCAAGGCTGATCCGCTCAGCCCAATCTTTCCTTTCGTTGTCCGGGGTGCGCAAAAACCCGCCGTGCACACCTGCTTCCGTGGAGATTTTCTTGTCTCCACGGCTCCACGGCCACCACCATGAACACCTCCACCACCACCACCACCACCATCAGGCTGTTGTTTTGCTGGTAAGCAGATGGATTTGTACAAGAATCAGGCAAATGACCACATTGCGTGTATGACAGCGGGCGCCCCGCCTCGCCTTGCCCTTTTGGCGGCGGCGTGCGTGGGGGACTGGCACGCGGGTGGATGGCCCGGGGTCCGCCCGTCTCCCCCTTCGCCTCAGCGATCCAGTCATGCCCTGTTTGAGGGTTGAGTCTTGGGGGGTCCTGGGGTGTGATGCCTTCCTCAACGAAGCACAGCAATTTCCATGAACCACAGCATCAGGATGACTGTTGGCGCCGCTGAAGGTCCTGCCCCTCCGCCTCAAGCAACCCCCTCCACAGGCGCCGGCGCCCCCGTGCTGGCGGACCCCAGCGCCACCCTCCAAGACTGCGGCGTCGCCGGCGCCATCCTTGCGCTGCGGTGCTGGATCGGCCGACGCGCCAATGGCGCCCGGGGGGCCCCGCGCGGTGCGGCGTGGGCCGACGCCGGCGGCGGGCCGGCGGCAGCAGGTCGCCGCTGGCGGTCTGCGCAACGCAGACGGCGCACTCTGGAGGCCTATTCTTACAGCTTTGCCCTCTCACTGTCGCTGCGTCAGTCATCAGCAGCAGGCAGACGGGTCTCATGCCAGCCCGGGCCGCAGATGCAGCCACGGGGCGGCTGCTCTAGCTGGTCCACTAACATGAGTGGTCAGCTGTCAGGGCTTGCGACACTGGAACGCGCTGTGCATGGACCCAGCTTGCTCTAGGCGTGCGGCTTTGCTGTTCTTTGAACCCTCCTTCTGATCTGCTACACAACAGAGTGTGAGGCGATGCTGTAACCACGGCTATGAACGGCGCTCTGCGGCCGGCCTGCTGTGTGCGAAGGCGTTCCCACCACGTGCTCGACGACAGCAATCCCTGCCTGCTGACCTGGCAGCAGCTGCGGCTGAGGTTGCTAAAGTGTTGGTGTAAAGCACAGGGGCGTGCGGGGAGCGGAGGCAGCTGACTCATTTCTAGCCTGATGCTCTGAGCACCCAAAGAATGCGTGACGCACTGGGGCCCAAAATCCGAAAACTGCTCTGTTGAGTCCTCAATCGTTTACAAACTGCGTGTGCAGTGTGAATGCGCAGGGACGGTGAAGCGGCGGCGCTTGCATGCGGGAGAGGAAGTCGGTCGGCCACAGCAATCATGATCAGATCAGATCATACTGCCGGCGCGGCTTGAGACCGGCAAAAAGCGGAGGCATGACCCGACCTTTGGGCGGCGGTTGTCAACACACAGCAAGACAAGCCCGACCAAGCGTGATAGGCGACTAGACAATGTGGGTGCAGCAGTGTGTGCGCGTCAAGCTGTGCACATGTAGGGGCTCTGCGCGCCCCAAGTGGCAGCAGCGGGGCGATCAGCTGCACCCCTCCCCAAGAACCCCGGCCTGGCATGACAGCTTGATCAACAATTGAGGCAGCCAGTGAGCACGATAAAGGCAAAGCCGGCGGCCGGGGGGATGACTGCGCGCCGCTTGGAGCAGCAGTCCACACAGGCGGGGGGCTGCCGCTGCACATGGGGGCGGCGGGTCAGCAGCGGGGGACGGCCGGGGAAAGCGCCGTCGTGGGGGTACACCGACCATATGCATATGTACATAACATGAGGCAAAAAAGGAGTTGCCGGCGAGCGAGAGCAAAGGGGTGCAGCAGGGGAGACACGATTGCTGGGTTGCACATACAGTCGTGCGCGGGCGCTACTGCACGGCGCGGCGCGCAGCACGGCCAGCGGACGCGCACTGATCCCGGCCCACCGCCCGGCCCCGCGCGTCGCTGCGTCGCCAGCGCTTGTCGCGGGGGCACGCGGTGGCGGCGGGGCGGATGGGCGGTGGGCTGTGGTGGTGGCGTGCCGCTGGGATCGCCGGCATGGGGCGAGGACCCCGCATGATACTGGCATTTACTTGAGCTGCCCACGGATGATGCCGGTGGGGTTCTCGACGGTGTGGATGTTGACATCTGCGGCCGCGGTTTCAGCAGTAGAGGTTTTACGTAGGGGACAGATGGCAGAGACTGCCGAGGGGCCCGCAGCAGGACAAACGTCAACGCGCCTCCAGCCGCACATGCTAGTGCCCCATGCCGGCCACCCAGGCCCGCCGTCGACCGATGCGAAGCAGCGCCCAAGCCCCACTGGGCCGCCCGGGCACCCTCGCGGCCGCTCACACAGGGCCGTCTTGTTGGCCAGCAGCGTCGCGACATCGCTGATGGTGCTGTTGCTGAAGGGGAGCGTCTCTGTCAGCAGCACCGAGGACACCTTGCTGCCAAACCCGCCGACGCCCCCCGTGAAGAGCGTGAAGACGACTGGGCCGTTGACGCCGGCCGCGCCGACGTGGATGTGGCCCATCGTGAGGGTGAGGCCGCTGCAGGCACGGGCGTGGGCGCAGGCGGGGAGTTGCGGGCCCGCGTGGGTGTGCGGCAGGGGAGGGCTATCGGAGGCTGGGCGGTGGCTGGAGCGCGTGCCGCTTCTGGTGGCCTGCGGTCGGGGGCACAGCTGAGGAGGCGTGCACGCGGGAACCTGCTGGCACAGGGGCGGCTGCCCGCCAGGGTCTTGCTGTGGGGTCCCGCAGCATGTTAGATGCCAATTCCCTTGGAGGGGCCCTCTTGGGCACTTCGTTGTCTCTGGCAAGGGCTGCACCCGCCCTCCGTTTGGCCTCGACGGGCCACCTAAATGGGACCGCCGGCACAGCCCCTCTCTTCTGCAGAGGGGAGGCTACATTGTGCACTGCGGCGTTAGGGGCCTGCAGCCCCTCAACGGCCCCACACCGGCCTGCAGCGCCGCAGCCCCCGCTCCCCGCTCAGCGGGGCAGTGCACGCCCCCCGCCCCACCCCCCGGTCAAAGAGGCGTGCACGCAGCGCGCGCGCGGGAGCACACTCACGTGAAGCGGGCGAGGGAGAGCGTCCAGGTGGCCGTCCTCGGGGGTTTCTTGGCTGATGAGAACTTGAGCTTGAAGAAGCCCGTCGCCTTGGTGGTCACAGGCGGGTTCTGATTCTTGCCGCGCAGGACGGCGCCATACGCGGGCTTCTGGGCGGCCGCCAGCGCGGCGCAGCCGCAGAGCAGCAGCAGCAGCGCGAGGAGCGCGGGGCTGAGCGGGCGCCTCATGGCGTGGGTTCTGGGTGCGGGGTGCGTGCGG